TTTGTGGGGTTGGTCAAGGAATGATACAATAAAATACAGTTATACAGCTTGGCTTTTTGTTATAGGCTTATTAAGTTACCTCTATAGTGACTCATATATCTTACAGGGCCAGGAAATAGATACCAGACATTAGGATAAAGACAGCTTAAAAAATTCAGAATCTAATCAAAACCGAGGAAGTTAGCTTGAGCATCAGTAAGGATTACAGATTACTGCAAGCAGATGAAAGAAATAAAAAATGGTACCCCTTCGACTCAGAAAAGATCAACCTGTATGAAGAGCTTGTACATGGGATTCTATAATAGTAACTGTGAAAAGCACTCAACTTTAAGCTCTCATAAACTTGAAGATACTAGAATGATTTCAACATAGTGAACCTGCCTGAACTCATTGCGCAATTATAATTTTAGATGCTGTCATAAGGCTGACTTCTCAGTTTAATTAGACAAATGTTCTAAAACATTAAAAATATATAAATACCAAATATGCAAAGATTCCTTAATGTAAAAATATAAAAACACAAAATGTATTCTTTTATAGATTTATGATTTTAATTCTAAATCTACTTGGGTTTATAATAAATATATCCCCTGTGGTAGGCAAAATTCTAAGATGACCCACAGTGACCCACACTCTTATATAATCACTTCCTCTCCAGTGTGGTTAGAACCTGGGATTATGATGAGCTATTACTCCTGTGATTATATTACTCATCAGTTGACTTTGAGCTAATCAAAACAGAGATTGTCCTGGGTGGGCCTGACTTAATCAGGTGAGCCTTTAAACGAAGGCATAGCATCAGAGAGATGTGCTCCTGCTGACTTTAAAGATGCAGTTTACCCTTGATAAACAAACAGCAAAAACCAGGGACCTCAGTTCTGTAACTTTGATGAATTAAATTATGTGAGCTTAGAAGAGGGGCTTGAAGTTCACATGAGAACCATAGCCCTGGCAGATACCTTCATTTCAGCCTGGAAGAGCCTGAACAGAGGACTAGTTAACTTGTGCCTGCACTCCTGATCCACAGGTACTATGTAATAGGAAACCAATATTCTCCCTATAGTGAGTTGAATTGTGTCTCCCCAAAAGATATGCTGAAGTTCTAATCCCTTGTACCTGTGAATGTGACATTATTTGGAAGTGGAGACTTTACAGAAGTGATTATGTTAACATGACATTATACTGGATTAGAATGGACCCTAAATCCAATTACTGGTGCCTTTATAAGGTGAGGAAGATTTGAAGGCACAAAATACACATAGAAGGAAGATGGCCATGTGAAAATGAAAACTGAAATGGGAGTGATGTAGCTAGAAGTCAAAAAATGATTTAAGACTTTTTCCCTCCAAAACTTTAAGAATTAATTCCTGCTGTAAACCAACTGTATTAGCTCATTCTTATACTGCTATAAAGAAATACCTGAAACTGGGTAATTTATAACAAAAAGAGGTTTTAAATTCCTGTACAGACTGTACAGGAAGCATAGAGGTATCTTCTTCTTCTCCCCTCCCTGACGGGAGGCCTCAGGGAACTTACAATCATGGTGGAAGGCAAAGGGAAATCCAGCACTTTACATGGCCAGAGTAGGAGAGAGAGACAGGGGGAGACATGGGGCATGTGCCACACACTTTTTAGCAATCAGATCTCACAAGAACTCACTATGATAACAGCAACATCAAGGGGGGATGCTGTTAAACCATGAAAAACTGTCCCCATGATCCAATAACTTCACACCAGTGTCTCCTACTTCCAGCAAGGTGGATTACATTTCAACATAAAATTTGGGTGGGACAGAAATCCAAACCATATCACCAACCAGTTACAGATACAGAAGCTTTAGGAAACTAATACACCCCCTGAAGAGATGCTATGGCACTTCTGACAGACTGGTTAGATGCTCACCAAACCCATATTCTCTTTCCAGGCACATAGTTAGACTACATTTCCCAGCCACCTTTTACCTGGCAGGACCATGTGACTAGTTCCTGCTGATGGATTGTGAACAGAGGGGCTGTGACACTTCAATGGCTGAATTAAAAGAAATCTACAGATTCAGAGCAATCCCTATCAAAATTACAATGTAATTTTTCATGGAAATAGACAAAAATAATCATTAAATTCCAATTTAACCACAAAACACCCCAAATAGCCAAAATAATCTTGAGGTAAAAGAAAAAACTGGAGATACCACCCTACCCAACTCCAAGATATAAGATTGTAATAAAAACAACATGATACTGGCAGAAAAAGAGACTCATCAACCAATGAAATAGGATAGAAAGCCTGGAAGTAAACCCATGTGATTTAATTTGACTCTGTATCCCCAGCCAAATCTCATGTTGAATTGTAATTTCCAATTTTGGGGGAGATACCTGGTGGGAGGTCATTGGATCATGGGGACGGATTTCCTCCATGCTGTTCTCATGATAGTGAGTGAGTTCTCACAAGATCTGATGGTTTAAAAGTGTTACAGAAGCTTTAGGAATGGAATGGCTTCAACATTCACTCTCTCTCTCTGCTGCTCTGCCATTGTAAGATGTACCTGCTTCCCCTTCACCTTCCACTATGATTGTAAGTTTCCTGAGGCCTCCTAGTCATGCTTCCTGTTAAGCCTGTGGAACTGTGAGTTATTAAACTTCTTTTCTTCATATATTAATCAGTTTCAGGTAGTTCTTTATAGCAGTATGAGAATAGACTGATAGAGAAAATTGTTACTGGGAGTGGACATTGCTATAAAGATACCTGAAAATGTGGAAGTGACTTTGAAACTGGGTAACAGGCAGAGGTTAAAACAGTTTAGAGGGCTCAGAAGAAAAAGGAAGATATGGGAAAGTTTGGAAGTTTCTAGAGATTTATTGAATGGTTTTCACCAAAATGCTGACAGTGATATGGACAATGAAGTCTAGGCTGAGGTGGCCTCAGAAGGAGATGAGGAAATTATTGGGAACTGGGGTAAAGGTCACTCTTGCTATACTTTAGCAAAGAGACTGGCAGCATTTTGCCCCTGCCCTAGAGATCTGTGGAAATTTAAATTTGAGAGAGATAATTTAGGGTATCTGGCAGAAGAAATTTCTAAGCAGCAAAGCATTCAAGATGTGAACTGTTTCTAAAAACATATGATCATATGCATTCACAAAAGGATGGTCTGAAATTGGAACTGATATTTAAAAGGAGAGCAGAGCATTAAAGTTTGGAAAATATGTAGCCTGACCATGACCATGTAATAGAAAAGAAAGCCCATTTTCAGGGAGAAATTCAAGACTGCTGCAAAAATTTGCATAAGTAAAAAGGAGCCAAATGTTAACAGCCAAGACAATTGGGGAAAATGTTCCCAGGGCATTTCAGAAATCTTCACATCAGCCCCTGCCATCACAGGCCCAGAGACCTAGGAAGAAAAAGTGGTTTCATGGGCCACACCCATAGCCCAGCTACTTGGTGCAGCCTCAGGAGATAGTTCCCTGGATCCCAGCTACTACAGCTCCAGCTATGACCAAAAGGGGCCCAGGTACAGCTTGGGCTTTGGCTTTAGAGGGTGCAAGCCCCAAACCTTGGTGGCTTACATGTGGTTTTGGGCCTGTGGGTGCACAGAAGACAAGACTTGAAGTTTGGGAACTTCTGCCTAGATTTCAGAGGATGTATGGAAATGCCTGGATGTCCAGGCAGAAGTTTGCTGCAAGGGCAGAACCCTCATGGAGAACTCCTACTAGAGCCGTATGGAGGGGAAATATGGGGTTGGAGCCCCCACCACAAAGTCTCCACTGGAGCACTGCCTAGTGGAGCTGTGAGAAGAGGACCAATGTCCTCCAGACCCCAGAATGGTAGATTCTTGCAAACAGCTTACACAGTGCACCCGGAAAAGCTGCAGGCACTAAATGTCTGCCCATGAAAGCAGCTGTTGGGGCTGTACCCTGCAGATCCACAGAGGCAGAGCTTCCGAAAGCCTTGGGAGCCCACCCATTGCATCAGTGTGGCCTAGATGTGAGAGATGGAGTTAAAAAATATTTTGGAGCTTTAAGATTTAATGACTGCCCTGCTGGGTTTCAGACTTGCATGGGACCCATAGCCCCTTTGTTTTGGCTGATTTCTCCCATTTGGAATGGGAGCATTCACCCAATATCTGTGCCCCGACTGTATCTCGGAAGTAACTACTTGTTTTTTATTTTGCAGGCTCATAGGTGAAAGGGACTTGCCTAGTCTCAGATGAGACTTTAGACTTGGATTATGGGTTAATGCTGGAATGAGTTAAGACTTTGGGGGACTGTTGGGAAGGCATAATTGTGTTTTGAATGTGAGAAGGACATGAGATTGGGAGGGACCAGGGCATAATTATATGGTTTGGCTCTGTGTCCCCACCCAAATCTCATGTTAAATTGTAATTCCCAATGTTGGGGGAGGTGCCTGGTGGGAGGTCACTGCATTATGGGGGCAGATTTTCTCTGTGTTCTTACGCCCCTCTCGTGATAGTGAGTGAATTCTCCGAGACCTGATTCTTTAAAAGTGTGTGGCACTTCCCTACTTTCTCTCTCCTGCTCTGCCATGCTAATATGTGCCTGCTTCCCCTTCACCTTCTGCCATGATTGTAAGTTTTCTGAGCCCTCCCAGTCATGCTTCCTATTAAGCCTGTAGAACTGTGAGTAAATTAAGCTTCTTTTCTTTATAAATTACCCATTCTCATGGCATTGTTTATAGGAGTGTGAGAACAAAATAATATACCATGCATTTATGATAAATTGATTTTTTTTTGTTTTTCCTGCCTCAGTTTTATTTGTACAAATAGCACAGGAGGGCCCCAGCCCCATGCAGACAGCAGCCAGGGTGGTGGGGGTGGGCTTGGTCAGTCACACCAGTCCTTCTATCCTCACTTTGGTAGACAGAGATCTCTATTCTGAAGCCTTTGTAGGAGGCCTGGGCAGGCACCTTTGGGAGCCTGAGCTGAAAATGAAGCTGGAGCTGCAGCCTGGGCCTTGGTTTGATCCTTGGCCTTGGCATTTGGCCAGCACGGCCTGAGCCCCTTGGCAATGCAGGGACGAGCACGCTTCCCAAGCTTGGAGTGGGCAATGTAGGCAAGTTGATCAAGCTTGCAGCTGACACCCTTTGGGATCTCGGGCTTAACCTCCTTGGGCTTTACGAGGGCCCTGATGGCCTCAGCACGTGCACTCATGGCCTTGGAATTGTTGGCCTGCATCTTCTTTAGGCCTTTCTTGGTGAAACACAACTCTTAGGAACTTGAGGTCCAACCCCCTAAGAGATTCGTATCTTTGTGATTGGGGTTTCTTGATACTATTTCTGTGCTATTTTCGGGACTGGTTGTGTGTGGTGTGGTTCTTGGACTTGGCCATGTCGGCACCTTAAGCCACAGCTCCCTGATAAATTGATTTTTTGACAAAGGTGCCAAAGGCATACAATGTGGGGAGGGCAGTCTAATTAACAAATGGTGTGGGGAAAACTGGTTATCCACATAAAGAAGAATGAAATTGGACCCTAACCTTATATCATAGACCAAAATCAATTCAAAAAAGATGAAAGACTTAAACATAAGACCTAAACTGGAGATGAACTAGAAGAAAACAGAGAGGGAGAGCTTCGTGACATAGGTCAGAGCAAGGACTTTTTGGATATGACCCCAAAAGCTCAGGCAACAAAAGCCAAAATAGACAAATGGGGATAGCATCAAACTAAAAAGTGTTTGCACAGAAAAAAGAAGAACAACAACAAAAATTCCAGTTAATAAAGTAAAGAGAAAACCCACAGAGTGGTGAAAGTTATTTGCAAACCCTACACCTGATAAGTGGTTAATATCCAAAATATATAAGGGGAGCAAGATGTCTGAATAGAAGGCTCCACCAATTCTCCCCCTAAGACAGACACCAATTTAACAGCTATCTACACAAAAAAAGCACCTTCATAAGAACCAAAAATTAGGTGAGCACTCACAGTACCTGGCTTTAACTTCATATCACTGAAAGAGGCACTGAAGAGGATAGAAAAGAGTCTTGAATTGCAGACACTGCCCATCCTCCATCCCCTGGCAGTAGCTGTGTGTCACAGAGAGAGAATCTGTGAAGATGGGAGAGGGAGGGAGAGTGCAGCAATTGTGAGACCTTGCATTGAACTCAGTACTGCCCTGTGATAGCAGAAAGCAAAACTGGGCTTAACTTATCTAACACCTGCCCATAGAGGGAGCATTTAGACCAGCCCTAGCCAGAGGGAAGTCACCCAACTCAGCAGTTGGAACTTGAGTTCTGGCAAGCCTTGCCACACTAGGCTAAAGTTCTCCAGGGCCCTAAATAAACTTGAACAATCTAGGCCACAACGACTGAAACTTGTAGGCAAGTCCTTTTGCTGAACTCAACTCAGTGCCAGTGGACTGGTGGGGAACAAGACCTACTGAGACACCAGGTCGGGCAACTAAGGGAGTGCTTGTGACACCCTTTCCCCAACCACAAGCTGCACAGCTTATGGATTCAAAAGGAACCCCTTCTTTCTGTTTGACAGGAGGAGAGGGAAGAGTAAAGAAGATTTTGTCTTGCATCTTGGATACCAACTCAGCCACAGTAGGATAGGGAGACAGTCAAAGATGTAAGACCTCCTTTCCAGGACCTAAATTCCAGACAACGTTTGTAGACACACTGAGCCAAAAGGGAATCCATTACCTTGAAGGGAGAGACCCAGTCCTGGCTGCTGACTAAAGAGCCCTTGGATCCTGAATAACGAGGAGTAATACCCAGATAGTATGTCATGGGCCGTGGGTGAGAATCAGACTTCCTGAATTAAGCTGAAACTTAGCATATTCCCAGCTGTGGTGTCTATGGGGCAAGACTCCTTCTGCTTGAGAAAACAAGAGGAAAATGTAAAGGAGACTTTGTCTTGCACTTCACATGCCAGTGCAACCTCAGGAGTTTAAAGCACAAAGTAGGGTCTTGGGAACACCAATTCCAGGACTTGGCTCTTGGACAGCATTTCTGGACCTGCCCTGGGCCAGAGGGGAGCCCACTGTCATGAAGGGTGAGTTCAAGGCCAGGCAACATTTACCACAAGCTGACTGAAGAGACTTTGGCTCTTAAGGGAACATTGGCAGTAGCCTGACAGTACTCTCTGTGGGCCTGTGGTGGTACTAGCCATGGGATGAGGCTCCTTTGCGTATGGAAAGGGGAGAAAAGATTAAGAAGAACTGCATCACATGATATGAGTGCTAGCTTAGCTGTAGTACAATAGAACACCAGGTAGACTTCTAAAGTATTGATTCCAGTTCCTGGCTCCTGGATGGCATCTCTGGACCTGCCTGGGGCCTGACGGAACTTGCCTTCCTGAGTGGAAGGACGCAAGCCTGAAAAGCTTCAACACCTTTTGATTATACAGTCCCAGTACCTTGAATGAACATAGGTGGTAGCCAGTTAGTGGTTACAGTGGACCTTGGGTGAGACCCAGTGCTGTGCTGGCCTTAGGTCTCACCCAGCACAGTCCCAGTGATGGTGGCCACAGAGATGCTTGTATAACTACATTGCCAGCTCTGGATGGCTCAGAACAGAAACAGAGACTTTGTTTATTTGGGAGGAAGTAAGGGCAGAGAATAAGTGTCTGCCTAGTAATCCAGAGAATTCCTCTGGATCTTATCTAAGACCACCAAGACAGGACCTATATGAGTCTGCAAGAACCACAGTGTTACTGGGCTTGGAGTGTCTTCTAAGACACTGGGCTTAGAACAAAATACCAAAGTCTTTTCAAATACCTTGAAAATCTTCCTAAAAAGGGCAGGTAAAAACAAGCTTAGCCTGCAAAGACTACAATAAATACCTCTCTTCAGTGCCTACACACAGACAAATATCCATGAGCAGCACCAAAACCATCTAGGAAAACATGACATCACCAAATCAACTAAATAAGTACAAGGGAACAATTATGGAGAAACAGATATGTGACCTTTCAGACAGAGAATTCAAAATGGTTGTTTTAGGAAACTCAAAGATATTCAAGACAACACAGAGAAAGAATTCAGAATTCTATGAGATAAATTTAACAAAGAGATTGAAATAATTAAAATGAATCAAGCAGCAATTCTGGGGCTGAAAAATGCAAATGACATACTGAAAAAATGCATTAGACTCTTTTAATAGCAGAACTGATCAAGCAGAGGGAAAAAAATAATGTGCTTGAAGATAGCCTATTTGAAAATATACAATCAGAGGTGATAAAAGAAAAAAGAATTAAAATAATGAAGCATTCCTACAGGATCTAGAAAATAGCCTCAAAAGGGCAAATCTAAGAGTTATTGACTTTAAAGAGGAAGTAGAGAAATAAATGGGGGTAAGATATTTATTCAAATGGATGATAACAGATAATTTCCCAAACCTAGAGAAATATATCAATATCTGTGTACAAGAAGGTTATAGAACACTAAGCATATTAACCTTAAGAAGACTACTTCAAGGCATTTAATAATTAAACAGCCAAAGGTTAAGGATAAAGAAGGGATCCTACAAACAGCAAGACGAAACAAATCACATAAAATGGAGCTCCAACATGTCTGGCAGCAGCCTGTTCACTGGAAACCTTACAGGCCAGGATAGGGTGACATGACATATATAAAGTGCTGAAGGAAAAAATATTTTACCCTAGAATAGTATATCCAGTGAAAATATCCTTCAAACATGAAGAAGAAATAAAGTCTTTCCCAGAGAAACAAAAGCTGAGGGATTTCATCAACATCAGAATTGTTTTAAAACAAATGCTAAAGGGAATACTTTAAGTCAGAAAGAAAAGCACATTAATGGGCATAAGAAGTCATATGAAGGTACAAAACACACTGGTAATATTAAGTACATAACAAGACACAGACTATTATAACCCTGTAACTGTGGTGTGTAAAGTACCCTTAAGTAGAAAGACTAAATGATGAACTGATCAAAAATAATAACTACAGCAACTTTTCAAGACATAAATAGTATGATAAGATGTAAATAGTCACAACATAAGTTAAAAAGTTAGGGGATGAAGTTAAGGCATAGAGTCTTTGTTTTCTTCTTGCTTGTTTATGTAAATGGCGTTGTTATCAGCTTCAAATAATGAGTTATAAGATAGTATTTGCAAGCCTCATGGTAACCTTAAATGAAAAAAATATATACAACAGACATAGGAACCAAAGAAACCAAGAAATTATGGCATACCACCAGATGAAATCACTCTCACTAAAGGGAAGGCAGGAAAGAATGAAAGAAGGAGGAAAAAATCACAAAGCAACCAGAAAACAAATAACAAAATGGCAGGCGTAAGTACTTACTTATTAAATAACAAATAACAAAATGGCAGGAGTAAGTACTTACTTATTAAATAACATCATTGAATGTAAATGGACTAAACTCTCTAATCAAAAGACATACCATGGCTGAATGGGTGATAAAAAAGGGGAACGCAATAACCTATTACCTACAAGAAACACATTTCAACTCTGAAGATGTGCATAGACTGAAAATAAAGGGATACAAAAGATATTTCATGCCAATGGTAACAAAAACAGAGCACGAGTACCTATACTTGTATCAGACAAAAGAGATTTCAAGACAAAAACTATAAGAAGAGACAGAGGTCACTAATAATAGAGGGGTAAATTCGGCAAGAGGATATAACAATTGTAAATATATATATATATATATATATATACACACACTCAACACTGGAGCACCCAGATATACAAATAAAATATTATCAGAGCTAAAGAGAGAGATAGGCCTCCATACAATAACAGCTGAAGACTTCAACACCCCACTTTCAGCATTGGACATATCTTCCAGGCACAAAATTGACAAAGAAACAATGGGCTTAAACTGCACTATATTTACAGAACATTTCATCCAAGAGCTGCAGAATACACATTTTTTTTAACTTTTTAAAAATTTTATTTTACTTTAAGTTCTGGGGTACATGTGCAGATCTTGCAGGATTGTTACATAGGTAATACACATGCCATGGTGGTTTGCTGCCTCCAACCCCCCATCACCTATGTTAGGCATTTCTCCTAATGTTATCCCTCCCCAATCTCCCCACTCCCTGCTATCCTTCACCTAGCCCCCCACCCACCAAAAGACCCCAGTGTGTGATGTTCCCCTCCCTGTGTCCATGTGTTCTCATTGTTCAACACCCACTTATGAGTGAGAACATGCAGTGTTCGGTTTTCTATTCTTGTGTCAG